TTAACACGTAGCCAATGGCCACCTAAGACGTCGTAGGTAAAAAGAACTCTTTACAGGCTAATGAGGTACATATAAAAGTATTACGTGACTAAAATAAAGGTAATTTTCTCCAGTTAGTAAAAAAGTTTCAACCACAAAACATTGCCTCACTTTAAGCTGTGGGTGCGTTATGAGAGTGACAGCCAATCCCTTAGTGTGAATGGTAGTAGGTAGTGGTCTGGATCTGCTAACTGGCTACGTTCCCTCTGGTCAGAAGTTCAAAATTAGGGACGGTGGCAGATTGACTAATTAGCTATGCAATAAAAATATACAAACACAAAAAAAATACATTGTGGTGTGAAAATAAACGGGTATCTTTCTCAGTGTCGTTGATGATTGACATCTCCTCATCCACATCACGTGAGGTTACACGGAACAACGCGTCACACACGCACCTAGAAACAAAATGAAGATAACAATAACACGTTTGTCTTTTTTAGCAGACCAGTGCATGAAACTTGGAAGTGAATCACTGTATCGTTTAAACGTAGAGGAACTGAAAAATCAAATAGAGCATCGAATTAATGTTTGTTAGAGACGAATTACTCGAGTGGTACAAAATACAAATATCAAATGAATTTCTGACACGAAGCTACTTAGAATGGTGTTTGACCTTTGAATATACACGGTGTTTGTTTACATTCAAATAACTATATAAAATGGTCATTGACGTTAACTCGTTTACAAGTCTTATTAGTTTTCGTGAATAAACTGTTTGCTCTGATAGTAACTTCTCACCCAATTATCAAACAAAAATGACCTAAATTCTGTTGAAACACTCTACAAAGAAGTCACTGATCTATTTCAAATGTAAGAATAGCGTTCATATTTGTAGGTCATTTAAACTGCGTAAAGTAACGGCAGTGAAAACACTCCAACATCTTTACGGTAGTTTTCATGCCCATCGCTTGACTCTTCCTTATTCTGTCATTTTCACGCACGCCATTTAAGCTACGCTTTGTTGAAGGCATTATGTGTTAGATCGATAAATCCTGGTCTATTTGAAAAATAATTACATGGTTAGACAAACAAACTTATGCAAACGTAACTTTATTTAACACAACTACATATACCTAACTATATTTAACAAAATTAAACGTAAAATAAACAATAAAGTATGGTAATAGTATTTATAAGTGTACAGAGTATGAACCAGTTTTGAGTGTTCAGTGTATGACACAGTTTTTTCACTTGAAACAAAGAAACTCTGAAAAACGAAAAATGAAACCCATACCAATGAAAAAAAAGGAGCTAAAAGGTGTTTATAGTAGTCTATGAAACGAATCAAAGCTAAGTTACTGCAAAGTAAAGTAATGTAAAGTTGAAATGAAGGCAAACCTAGCTGAATATGCAGAAACGTCTG